GATCCCACCCCCGGAATTGCCAGAAATTCCGTGGAATTTCCCACCTAAAACAAAGGGATGCACACGCGAAATTTTGGGAGCTTCGGAGCAAACCAAGTGCAAGAAGTTGGGGGGAATTTATTTGCTGTCTTTTGGCCCCTTTGCCCACCCAAATCCTCGGCTGCTTTCCGTCAGGGAATGTGTTTGTGTAACTCCCATGTCCTGGTGTCCCGTTGCTCTTTGCCGATGAACCCCCACCTTCGGGGGGTTATTTTTCAGGACAACCATTCCCAGCATCCCAACACGTCTCCACGGAGCAGCTGCGAGGTGTTTCCAGCTCCAAACCCTACCCTGACCCTCCTCCACTGCATCTCCCACCTTTCCCCCCAGACCTGTCCTTTCCCCCCTCAGATCCCGTGGGATTAAGTCACGAGAGACGCCGCAGAAAAGCTCCGGGTTAATCAGCACGAGCAATTTTCTTGGCATAAATAAGGTGCTGCCTTCATTTCTTTCACGAAAGCCACTTTTGATTTTTTCAGCCCCCTCAAGAGGCAAAAATAGCTCGTCCTAGAAATGTCAGCGGCACGTATGGATTTCTCTCCCTGGAAAACGAGCCGTGGAGCAGCCTCGGAGCCCTTCCCGTGCAGGGATGCTCTGCCAGGGGGTGGGGTTGGGTTGGGAGAGACCTTAAAGCTCATCTTGTTCCATGGCAGGGACACTTCCCACTAGCCCAGGTGGCTCCAAGCCCCGTCCGACCCGGCCTTGGACACTTCCAGGGATCCGGGGGCAGCCACAGCTCCCTGGGCAGCCTGGGCCAGGGCCTGCAACTTGTCTGTCCCCTCCCTCTCCCCGACCCTCACACCGGCACTCGGGGGTGGCTTTTCCCTCCCGGCAGCGCCGCCCCCGCCCCTTCCCGGCACCACCAGCGCTAATTGCTCCCGGTTCGTTAGTGAGCGACAGCCTCCCTCCCTCAGCCCCTCCCCGGGGGGCTCCAGGGCTGCCTTTCCTGGAAGTGTTTCCTCCCCGGGCCGCTGCGTTTCCGCATCCATCCATAATTGATGCCGGGCTGGGATTTCTTGCCCTGCTGGCGGGACCCGAGCTGGGATTTGGTGTGGAGCCACGACGGAGCCACAGCCTGCGGGATCCCACCCTCGGGGGTGGTTTCAGGGATGGGGGGGACAGGGATGGGATGGAAACCTGCCCTCCCACGTGCTCGTTAGCAGGGATGAGCTTCCCCCCGAGGTGTCCAAGTGCTGGTCCAGTGCCGGAGTCTCCCTCGCCCTTCCCGAACACATCAGCCCCCCCCATCCCTGGGGATGAATTTTCAGCTCTGCCTTGCTGAGAAACCTAAAACCCCCCCATGAAACCCTCTCTGTCAGGCCCCAGCCCACCCCACGGTTACATAATTCCCAGCAGGAACGAGCGCTCCGAGTTTTTAAGCCGCCAGTTAATTGTCTCCCTCCTCCCCAGTGTTGCAGAACAGACACGAAATGAATCCCACAAAACCACAGCTGACAGGGTTTTAAAAAATCTGTTTTCCTGCAAGGGACTGCGGGAAGGACGGGTGATTAATGAAGACTAGGGGAAAAAAAGGTTTTATCCAGCAGATTAATTTCCACGGGTGTTTAAATCCTTGGCAGAGCTGGACAAGGTGGAGATTTAAGGTCCCTTCCCACCCAAACCATCCCAGGATCCCGTGATTCTCCAACCTCCCCCTGCAGCCAGCGCTCCAGGAGCAGGTGGACGGTTTGGAAAATGGGAAATCTGGGCAAATTGACCCTGTGAGGAGCAATCACAGCTCCACTTCCCATTTCCCAGGGCAAACCTTCCCCCGGGACTGCGGGCGCCCGACCCTCAGCTTTCCCCATTTTCCAAGCGGATGCACTTGACGGGAACTCATCTCCCGGATCC